CCACGTACCAAATGAACTGGGCTACAGCTGCCTCCATTTACTTAGTACAACCTAGCTGCAGGCATCCCCCCATTATCTGAGGGGGATGCATTCCAAGACCCCCAGTGGATGCCTAAAACCATGATAATATGGTTTTAGGATAATACAGAACCTTATACCATTTTTTCCATTGCATACATATTTATGATCAAACTTAACTGATAAACTAGGCAGATTAACAATAGCCACAGATTACAGCATAATAAAAATAATAAAATAACAATATGCTGTAACAAAAATTATGTGAACGTGGTCTCTAAGTATCTTCTCGTACTGTACTCACCCTTCCTGAGATGATGGGAAATGACAAAATGACCCCGTGGTGAGAGAAAGTGAGAGGCGAATGACGTAGGCACTGTGATGGGGCGTTAGGCTGATACCGACCTTCTGTGGATTCAGCAGGAGGATCCTCTGCTCTGGACTGCAGGTAACTGGAACTGCGGAAAGTGAAGCCGCAGATAAGGGAGGGCTGCTGCACTGAGGCCCCTAACATGCAATGTGGTTCCAAAAGAAGCCCCTGGCTTCCTCCACGCAGGTACAGATACCTCTTCCTGCCCACAGAACCTCATCCAGCACCACGATCCACAAGTCTATGGAAAACCTGGTCTACGGGCACGGAGTCCCTTACAACAGGGCATCCAAGTAATGGCTTCCAAATTCAGGAGATTTCCTGGTGAAATCTGAAACCAGCCCCCACACAGGCAGGGCAGAAATAGAGGAAAGAAAGCGGCAGAGGGCTTCCAGCTGGTAGGTGGTAGGTTTAATATTAATAAGCAAGGAAATTTATGAAGACTTGTCCTGGGTGGCTGCAGATAGTAGATCTCTGCAGCTGCTGCCAGAATTGTAAAAGTTCGTATAACTTTTGCCTTGGGGTTTCACCCCCAGACAAGTTCACTATGGATTCAATGAAACCGAAAAATGACAATGGAATATTCTTGGGGTGAAAGGGTTTATACCCAACTTTATTCCCATGGTGGCAGCTCAGTCACTAGAATCCCATCCACTCAGAGCGAGTCTGCATGCAGCAAGCCAGTCTCTATCTCTGCACCTCTCTGCCCCTTCGCAGCCATCTCAGTCTATCCTCGCTGCTGCCACCACTCCAGTCTCTGCTCACCTGCAGCCTTGCAGTCATGTTGCCCAGAACACTGGGAAGAGCTCTTTATATAGAGTTAATAACAATGTATTGCCCACACATGTGTAGTAAGCAAGCCAACCAGGGCCAGGTGAGAATTCTGCCATAGGAACTTTCACTTTCTCCACAAGGCTTTAGCTGGGCTCAGTCACATGAACCGTCCATATGGTCTCAACAACACATTGCTCTCTCAAGACTGCATCCTTAAAATGGCTGTTAGTATGGTGTAGATAAAATGAGAGTTCCTGTGGCCAGGATTCTCACCTGGCCCTGGTTGACTAGCTCACTGCACACCTGTGGGCAAGAGCTCTGCCCAGTGTTCTGGGCATAACACTGTGGCAGGCTGCAAGGCTGCAGGAGAGCAGAGCAGAGGCTGGAGTGGTGGCAGCGTGGAGGACAGAGCCTCAGAAGGCTGTGCAGACAGGCCCAGAGGCAGAGACTGGCTTGCTGCATGCAGACTCGCTCTGAGTGGATGGGATTCTAGTGACTGACCTGCCACCTGGAAATAAGGTTGGGTATAACCCTTTCACCCCAAGAACGTTTTGCTGTCAATTTCTTTGGTCACATTGAATCTATAGTTAACTTGCCAACAGCTGAAACCTACTGGAAAGACATATAGAAATAAAGGCAGGACATCCATCTCAAGGACAGAGGAGGAGGGAAGGAGCCCCCAGTTTCCTGGTTCACCTTGAGGGTCAACCAGAGGTCATGATCTCTTGACCTCCAACACTCCACCCTTATGATTGGCTCTTACATTCTCATTCTCACATGCTCCCACCCCCTCTTCTGCAGTGCATCTGAATGGTCAGCAAGAGGTTTCACTAGCATGGAGGTGGCTCATTTGGCAACTCTCTGGCTGCACTGGATTCAGACACCACAGCAGCCACAGACGCACATGCAAGAAAACACACAGATTAGGATAATGAGTCCCAAAATAAGTAACAAGATTGTCCACCAAGAGCCCCCTAATATGAACCCCTGATTTATTAGATCCCCTAGGCTGGGGTTGGATCATTCAAGACATTCACTTGTGCCCTTATGTGATTTAATAAATATGATGTATTAACAGACTCATCAGGTGTGAACACAGCATTCTGTTTGGATGTTGGCCCAGGTGCCTCCTTTCAAGGCAGCAATAATGTCCAAGGTCATTCTTTTATGGAGACCTTTCCTCACCAGAGACAGTCCAGTGTTCAGTAAGGACAGGCTTTACCAGTGTCTTGCCAGTGAGTTTCAGCCCTGGAAAAGTTCACTGTGGATTCAGTGAGACCAAAAAATGACAGTGAAACATTCTTGGGGTGAAAGGGTTTATATCCCACTTTATTCCCAGGGTGGCAAGTCAGTCACTAGAATCCCATCCACTCAGAGCAAGTCTGCATGCAGCAAGCCGGTCTCTGCCTCTGGGCTTCTCTGTGGCCACAGCCATCTCAGTCTCTATTCTTGGCACTGCCAACACTCCAGTCTCATCTCTACTCTCCTGCAGCCTTGCAGCCATGCAGCCCAGAGCACTGGGTGGACCTGTTTATATAGGAATAACAACATATTGCTCACACATGTGTAGTGAGCTAGCCGACCAGGGCCAGGTGAGCATCCTAGCCACAGGAACCCTTGCTTTATCCACAACCAGTTATCATTTAAGGATTGTAGGGTGAAGTTAGTAAGGACATCTATGTGAACTAGAATGTCCTCCAGGCCAATGGAGGGAACAAAGATGGTGGCTGTACCAGTAGGAAACAGAACATGTCCATCTGGCCTTGAGGAGAGAGAGGTTGGAAACTTTAGGAACTCATCCTTGTTGTGTACACATGTTGGCCAGTTGAAGCACCACTGTTGGGTGTGAGGAGATGGACTGAGGGTGGGATCTGCCAGACCAGGACACCCACTCTCTCCCCTTTTCAATGGTGCATTCCATTCCAGCTATAGTGCATTTCAACAGGACTAGCTTGCAGCAGGACAACAGGATCCCAGCAGAGATTGAATAGTTTCCCCTCACCCAGGGGTGCAAAGTAAACTCATCTATCCCAGTGGGATGTCCTACTGCAAATTCCAGTAGGAGATGCCTTTCCCAGCACAGCACATTGATCCATGGTGAGTCAGGAAAATGGTTATCTCCCTTGATTTCTGTTCCTTTACTGTATTGGGCATCTCAGCAGGGTCCCCAGTCTGGCATATGAAGCAACAGGACTGTGAAAAAAATGAAAAGCCCTATGGCCAGGATCCTCACCTGACTCTAAATTACTTGATGATGTAGTTGGCCTACTGCTAGGCTACTGCTTCCTCACCCTAGGCAATAAGCTATTATTGACTGGGTCAGTTTAGGAAGAGCTCTGCTCAGTGCCTTGGGCAGAGGCAGAGACAAAGGAGGATTAAAGATCTGCAGACTGTTGGATGCAGACATGATTCTAGTGCTCGACCTACCATTGGGAGAATAAAGCCAGGTATAAACCCTTTTATCCCAGGAGTGCTCCATTGTCATTTCTTGGTCTCATTGAATCCATAGTGAACTTGCCTGGGGCTGAAACCCTCAGGCAAGACAAGGACCTACTGGTTGATCATTCAAGTGTATTAAATCCTGGCTAGTACCTCAGTCCACCTGAGCAAGATGGTTTTCCCTGTTAGTAATTAATCTGCTTCTCTGAGGGGAGATGGAACCTCCATTCAATATCATGTTCTTTTGCCCAGTTTTACAAATGACATTTGAGAAGTGACACTATTGATGAGGCTGTCTGTACAGGGGGCCCAGTCTCCCTCATCACCTGGCAGTGGTGACCTGATTTATGCAGTGGCAGGGAGAGCCTGGGTTAGGCGAGACGTGTCTTCACAAACCAAGGCACATTTAGAACCCTTACTGAGAGGGAGGAAGCCAATGTGATCAATTTGCCAATCTCTCTCCAGTTGGGAACTCCAGCGGATGGCTTGAGCCCTTTGGCAGTTGCCTTAGGTGTTGCCCAGCACACACAGGACATACCACCACTGCATTAACCAAGTGACTGCATTTCAAGGGCAATCCAGTATCCTTGGCAATACACCATCCCACCCAGGATGGGATGACCACTTTTCCTATGCATCTAATCTGCCCTATCCACTGAAGAGTCAGTTGCTAGGGCTCTCACTGGAGCAAGGGTATCTTCCTGATTGCCAGGGGTGTCAACACCCTTTGAGCCGAGATATGGAAGACGGTGAGGACTGCCTCAGTCACTTTCAGGCAAACCCAAAGGTCTTTCCACACGTCCTGACTGCACAAGGACTGAATCATGATCTCCCACCCCTCAGCTTCCCATTGTCCCTCTAGAATGGCCCAACTGTCAATGCAAAGGGTAAATGGCCAGGGATTTTGAGTGACCTCCAGCCAAGCTGCTTCAAGTTCATCCCAGTGGCTGCAGTTTGTCCTGTTACAAGGAGAACAGATTCTTAATGGACTGATGCAAATGACTAAATTGTATGAAAAATAAAATATTCACTAAGAGTTTCCAAATCTGGAGGGATCAGGTAAGGAGAAAAAGATAAATGTTTCATCTTTGTTTGCAAAGTAAATTTTTTTTAAGAGAAAAGAGATTTTCTTAAGTTTGGAGCAAAACATAAAAGAACCAACATTTCTAATAAAAATTCATAAATATTATAGTCATCCTCATCAGTTTTTCCATTAAAGCTCTGCAAATTCCTAATCAGTTCAGTGTTATGATCTTAGTTATCAGAAACCAGTACTTGGTCAGATTTTTTCATGAATCATCTTGAAGATGAAGCACATTGTAGGAACACTTTTGCAAAGCATCAGAGTAAAACAATAAGTATCTATATATGACAAAGTACCTAAAAAATGGCCATGGTTAAAGTCTGATAAGAGTTTATTATAACACAATTGACAAGGAAACTATTATTTCCGTGACATACATCCTCTTGATGACACCTCCACACTGAGCTGGGGCACCTACTGCGCAGCCAAATGGGCCACAGCGGTACACCAGTGACACGGGGTCTGTGAATTGGATCACATATTGCATTCTCCAGAAGCAGCCAGCCTCACAGAATGCTGGAACAGCTTTCGAAAGGCACACCAAATCACTGCCATCATCAGGATGCAGAATATACCTAAATCAAAGACTTCATTGTGGTGGGGGCCTTCTCCCACCCCTCTTCCTTTATCCTTCAGGCCATTCCCCCAACAAATCTCTGACACAGAAAATCCTGTCTCAGTATCTACTTCTCAGAGGACCTGAATTAACATGAGCTTTTCTTTTTATTATAATAAATTCTCTACTTTTCTCATTAAATGTAAAGAGCCTGAGATGGAAGTTGAAGGTTGTTGGTGGGAATATTTGAGTCCACAAACAATTATATGCTTTTGGAACTAGACCTAGGTAATAATCACCAATTTCTAGCAGTTCTTTTAGTATTCTCATAACATGTGTATCTGTAGATACACACATATATATACACACATATACATATATTTTTATATATGTATCCATGTATCCTTTATTACATCCTTGCACATTTGTACTTTTCAAGGAAAGATTCTTTGCTTTAAAAGCTATCAACAGTCCTAGTAAATTTTTAAAAACCTTGTCTTCTGTCCAAAAGGCAATGTATATTCAGTTAGAAAATTATACTGATATAGAGTAAAATGTTATATAAAGTGAGTAGGGATTAGGGATGGAATAAAAGTCAAGGGTATCTATATTGATTAAAGAACTTTTTAAAGTCAGCAATAAAAGAGGAATGAAATGTTAATACACTCAAAAACATGGAGAAATCTCAAAAGCATGTGAAAGAAGCCAGACACCAGAGTATATTCTGTATGACTCCATTTATATAAAATTCTAGAAAAGACAAATACTACTTTAGTGACAGGAAGTTCTTCAGTGATTTCCTGGAGCTGAGGGACTGACAGCAAAGGGGCACAAGGCAATTTTGGAGATGGAAACGCCCTAGGTTTTGATTGAGGTAGTGGTTATGTGAGGGTGTGTACACCTTTATCAAAACTCATTTAATTGTATACACTTAAAATGGGTATATTTTATTGTACATAAATCATCCCTCAGTAATGATTTTTTTTAAAAAATGATTTTTAACTTTGGAAGAACCTTGGGTCAAGGTATTCTGCTTTACCCAGGCCACCATCTTCTCTTACTTGGGTTTTGCAACACCCTTTGGACTTGATTCCTTCATAGGAATCAAACTTCCCTCCAATCTGTTCTTCACTCTGCAGCCAGAGTGATATTTCCAAAAGAAAATGTAATTATGTTATTCCTATTTTTCTTCACATGTAACAGTCATGGTTCAATCACAGAAACAGAACCACTAAGATCAATATAAATATATAGATGATAACTTGTTATCGGGACTTGACCTTACACAATTATGAGAACTGGTGTCTGTAAGGCTGTTATGTTCACCTGTTATTTTCTGATGTGGGAGATTAAAGTCCACAGGGCAGGCAGCTGGGAAGGGAAGATGAATGTAAAGTTTCAATAATAAGCTGGAACCCACAAGCACAAGAATGAACTGAAACTGGTCTGTTCTTGCTGCCTCTGATCTTGAAGAAACGGGCAGAAGCTGGGGCCCTTCATCACCATGGAGCTAAACACATACCTGGCCTAGAAGTCAGAACAACTGAAGAGGGTTCAGGGGAAGCTGTAGCAGTGGCAGACTCAGCCACTGCCTCACATCAAGGAGGTGAGCCAGCAAATCCACATGTATGAGCTACAAAGCGGCTGCTGCTTCACTTCCGTACTCCAATCTCCTGCAAGAATCTCTTAGCCAGTCCTCATCAAAAAACACACAATAAGGAGAATTCTGAGAAATGCTGTTCAGCCAAGCCAAGTTGACACATTACAAACCGCCGTTAACACCCCAAACCTTAAATGGCTTCCTATTACTCTTACTGCCTTAACAAAACCTGTAAGGTTCTTTGTGACCTAACTTCCACCAGATTTCCTGGCTTTATCTCCTAATTCAACACACCTCCCCCATCTCAGGCTGTATGTGTTCAGGTTTAATACAAATGTTCTAACTTTTCTAACATTTCCACATTGTTTCTCCTAGCTGGAATATTCTTCCTTTCTTCCCTTTCTTCCTCCTTAACCTGGCTGAGACCTTTTTACCCTTATGGCCTCAGCTTCTTTTAGGAAACCGTTCTTGACACATCATTATACTGCTGGCAGCCAATACAAAACCACGTCCATAGTGAGCACTGAGCAAATTTCAGTTAAACAAATTAATATGAGTCAATAAGAATTAAAATTGATCATGGCTGAATGAACATGGCTGAAGTCTTAGGTGTATAGGGCATAAAGTCACGATTAGTGGGTAGGCAATATATTCCTTCTATTAAATGTGAGGAACACCATCTATTCACTTCTGCAGAAATATATACTTCCCACTTATCCATTTACTCACTTTGATATACAAACCCCCACTGCAACAAAAACTTTCTTAGTTGGAGTCCTCCAGAGAGCAGAGCCTAACACAAAGTAGTTTGTTTGGAAGGTGATTCCTGGGAGTAGGATTAAAAGTCGGGGAGGAGGGACAGGGAAGGAAAAAAGGGGGGTAGTTACTGAGCTGGCTAATGCTGTGAACATTCAAGTTTTACCTGGCTGGAAACCCTCCGAGGGCAGGCGAGGCACTTACCAACCAGCCCCCACCTCTCACTAGTTGAGTGTTGCCTTTAGGGAACTTGTCCCTCTCCCAGGACTGCCAGCCAGATGGGGATGAATGAGACCTCTTGGCTTTAGAGAAAGCCCGAAGGTAGTGAAAGTAGAGGCACCAGCAGCACTCATGATGGGATGCTGGGAGAAAACACAAGAACTGTCTACCACAGCTTCCACTGGAAATACAAAAAGAGTAAGAAATGCCAAAGCAATTTCACCTCCTTCTCTCAGAGAACTGATGGCTTGGGAGTGTAGGGAAATTTCATTAATTTACTGAATGTCTGTATAGACAGAAGAAAAGTGAACTATATAGTAAGAGGTAAAGAGATCATTGCTGGCTGACTGCTTTATCCAAAGAATACTGATCAGTGATACAAACTTTCAGTTGTATTGGTATTCCTTCTCTCTACATTGTAAGGCAATGGTGTGCCTGGGGCTTTAAGATGCACCAACCTTGCGTAGCACAGAGCAGCTACTCATCAAATGTTGGTGAAAGGGACCACCACAGGTGAAATATCATAAAGAGTTGTTTCACCTAGAGTATTAGGAAAACATATCAGTGGTTCTCACCTGAGGGCTGTTTTGCCCCCCAGGAAACATCTGACAATACCTAGAGACAGTTTTGCTCATCACAACTGTGAAAGGGGTGCTACCAGGATTTGGTGGGTAGAGATTAGGATGGTGTTAAGCATTTTAACAATGTACAAAGCAGCTGTACAACAAAGAATTACCCTGCCCAAAGTATCAAGTGCCAGAATTGAGAAACCCTGACACAGATAAAGGGGATCGGGTATTGACACATAAGTATATGTATTTATATAAACATATTATTTCTCCATTAATATAGTTTATAACATTTTAAAAATCAATGTTTAATTACAAATCATTTATCCTACATGCTAGCAATACAAAGGGTTGCATTAGTACCACCAAAACCAAAGGAATTGGTGAGTCCAACACGTCTTTTCTCAGTTTTCCATTCCTGTGCCTTTAGTGGAACATAATTGAGATCAAATTCTGGTTCTGTACAATCCAGGTTTAAAGTAGGGGGTAGTTTTCCATAGTAACAAGCCAGAGCAGTAAAGGCAGCCTCAACTGCCCCCGCAGCTCCCAGCAGATGTCCCGTGGCTCCCTTGGTTGAGGAAATGGCGAGGGCACGAGCGTGGTCTTTAAAAAGGTGTTTGATGGCTTTGTTTTCAGCAGCATCTCCCAACGGCGTGGAAGTGGCATGTGCATTGATGTAAGAGATCTCTTCAGGATGTACACCTGCATCTTTTACAGCAGCAGCCATACATCTAACAAAATAAGAAAAGAATTTATAATTTATCAGAATTAAGTTTAATTTTAAGACAGGATTCAGGGTCTGTATGGCTTATGTGGAAGAAATGTCCAAGTATATTGGAAGAAGAGAATCCTTTGCTCTAATAACAGACCCCAGCTTGGATTGCCATGTGAGAATGCCATCTGCATGGGAGTGATGAGGCACCCCCAAAGCTTTGTTCGGATCTAGCACGAGAAAAAACACTCAAACCTATGGATTTTATAATCTCTAATAAAACACATTTCCATTTATTTGAATTGGCTTTTTTTCCCTGGGGGGAAAAAACCATGTTGACTCAAGCCTGGAGTAATTTTTCTTCTAGGAATTTTTTATCAGTAGGGTGTGTGTATACAGAGATCTAAAATGTAGAGAAAAGTTCTATAACCATGTTCTAATTTTCTTTCACATTTAAATGTAAAATTTGGCATATTTCCCAGTAATCTAAAAATGTCTTCAGCAGTACTTCAGTAATTGAAATAACCTTCCAAAAAATCCTACTTAGGCTATAAGAATCCCAAATAAATGAAGAAGTACAAAGCCAAGCCAAATAAACAAATCCAAAAATAAAACATTTCTGTGGAAGAACCTTTGAAAATCTCATGTATGCCTACACCTTCCTTATTAGTTCCTCATCTCTGAGCTACACAGACTTCCAGCTCAGACTACAATATGAAGTGTGCTGAAAGGTTTCATTTTTTCTTCATCTAGCTGGCTACTATTTTTGACTTTTGTAGTACCAGCAACTACTCACTAAAACGCAAAAGTATAACTGAAGAGTCAGTAAACAATGGGCTTGACCAGATGCCTGTGTCTGTAAATAGTTTCACTGGAACATGCCCATCCATTTATAAATTATCTATAGCTGCCTTCACACTAGTAGGCAGCATTGAGTTGTGACAGAGACCTTATGGCTCACAAAGCTGAAAGTATTTACTATTTGTCCCTTTACAGAAAAGGTTTGCCACCCCTGGCTAATTTAACTGGTTAAAACATTATATGACCTAAGCAGGCTAACCTAGTAACACATTCACAGAGACTTTTTCTTTTTTTAACTTAACTATCTCTTCTACAATAACAGCAACTCGTTTCTCGAAGTGTGGTCCTCAGACCAGCAGCATGGTCTTGTTAGAAATGAAGAATCTCAAGCACCACTGAGACCTACAGGGTCAGAATATGCATCTGGGTGATTAAAGGTTGGGAAGTGCTGATTTAGTAACAGCAGAACCCTGCTGAAATGAAGCAGAGAACAGGCACATCTAGAAGAAAGGGTTAACTCTCCTGCCCAGTCTGATGAAGGGCCAAAGAGGACTGTGGGAGAGAACACTCACAGTTGTTTAGCACAACTGGGGGCATGAAAACTTGGTAAAGACATACATGGCCATCTTCCCAACTTTACTGGCGTAACTAAGATTCAATTTTTGTCAGCATGTTCATAAAAAAAATGCTTTCAAATATTTCAGACATCATGAAGCAAAGAATTAAAAAACAGTTTAGTCTGAAATGGAAAAACAGCAGGGATACCATACACCAAAGCATGGTACTGCAAGTTCTTCTAATTTGAGAGTCCAATACTATGTCTTATTTGAAGAAATACTATGAATGAAAAAACCAGTCTTTACCTTAAGGCACCTTGTCCTTCGGGATCGGGGGCGGTTATGTGACCAGCATCACCTGAGAGCCCATAGCCCAACACTTCTGCGTAGATCCGAGCCCCTCTTTGAACAGCATGTTCATGTTCTTCCAGCACCAGCACAGCTGCACCTTCTCCCATCACAAAACCATCTCTCTTTGGATGAAATGGTCGACATGCCAATTTAGGATTAGAATTTGCGCTCAGAGCGCGGGCTCTGGAAAACCCAGCAAGAGATAATGGGCTAATGCAGGAATCTGTGCCTCCAGCCACCATCACATCAGCACTACCATGGGCTATAAATCTGTAAGAGTCTCCCACAGCATGAGCCCCTGTGGTACAGGCTGTGGACACGGCATGATTGGGGCCCTTGAGTTTATATCGAATGCTGACCTGGCCTGCTGCCATATTGACCAGTATCTTAGGGACAAAGAATGGGCTAACTTTATTGTAGCCTTTTGTCTGAAACATCAAAGCAGTTTCAGAAACAACTTCAAGAGGAACCATTCCCATGCCAATTGCAACACCGGTAGCCACTTGATCAGCTTCTGACTGAGGATGCCAGCCGGAATCTCTCATGGCTAACTCTGCAGCCGCAATGGCCATAATGGTGGGAGAAGACATGGACTTGATAGCTGATTTGGACACGAAGTCTTGTTCATTGAATTGACCTTCATCACAACCTCTTGGCACATAAGCAGCAACACTGCAAGGAATACTCTGATACTCTTCACCAACCAGTGGCACAATTCCACTCTCTCCTAGGACAAGACGATCCCATATCAGTTGAGTTCCAACACCAAGAGGAGTCACTAAACCAATGCCAGTAATGACAACCTGCCTACACAATCTGGACGTTGGCACAGTTCCAAAAAACCTCCATTTACTTCTTATTAATCGCTGACATAATCTTGAATGTAGATGATGAGGGTTTGTAATTTTTTGGAAATTTTGCAAGCAGTTTGACATCATGGTTGATATGCCGATGATCAGAAACACGTTCCTGTAACAGACCACAATACGTCCAGGCCGTACTTCCTGTTGTTTAAATGTTTACAGGCCTAAGAAACAGTACCCCAGGTGTTCTTTCAGGTGCTCGGTGTGAGCTGTTAACGAGGACAGGGAAAATAATGTTAACATCCTTTTCATTTATACTTATCAAACCACGTGTTTGGACTTAACTCCCTTGTTACACTCGAAGTACCCTCAGACATTTGAAGACAAGGAAGTGAAATGATGATCAATTTACCGAAACAGAATTACACAATGAAAAGCATAAAGGCACTCCTAGCCTGACATGGGCTGCACGAAGCATCCTTTTCCAGGATTATGAGAGCTTATGCTAAACAGCACTTCTGGTGTCAGTGAGACAAAACACATTTCAGGGCCTATTCTTTGAGGTAACGATAAGCGGACTTTATTGACCTTCAAACTGTGTTGATTAAACTGGTTTTCCAGCCTACGACGGCCGGGAAGTGAAGAGGTGGGGCCAGTTCCCGACACCGCCTCTCAAGCACCACCACACACACCCTGAAAGAATGCACGGAGAGAGGAAATGAAAGCGGACCCCAGGTGCTCCGACACCCCTTCCCGACCCTACCCCGCCTGGAATGTGTAGCGGAGGGCCGGGAATAGAAGCGGAGCTATCAGCGGTACCTTCACCCGGCCGCGCGCCGGCCGCGCAGCCGCCGTCCGCACGGGCTCGTCCGCACATGCGCGCGCAAACGCAGGCGTGCCGTTTGGCTGGCTGGGCGCATGCATCCGGGCCCGTGGCCCCGCCCCCGCATCACCTTGGTGAAGGTCAGCCTAGCGGGCGGCAGCAGGTAGCTGGCGTCTGTCCCGGAAACTCCTGTCCCGCAACCTCGGTGACCCGGAGATAATCAAGAACGTGCCCAAAACGCGATAATACAGCATTTTTGTCCATCAAAAAGGGGATTTTTATTTTTAGATGATGATAATGCCTATATTCTCCTGTTGCAGGAGAAGGGGCAGTTATAGTCTACTTGAATCCTAGGAAAGAATTAAGGAAATTCCTATGCCTCTCAAATTTATTTGTAATAGTAAAGTAGAACTAACCAAAATGCTCAACATCAGGAAATTGGTTTATTTTGTGGTACATCTAAATACTAGGCAGTCATTTAAAATAATTTTGTAAGTGAGTGTTAATGTCCAAAGATGTTCAGACTGTGTTTGGAGATGGAAGTTACAAAGTTATACAGTATATCGTTTTTTTTTAAAAAAAGACTTCTTTAAGGTCTACAAAAATGCACAGTTATTATGATGTCCCCCCTTATTTTTAATTTGCCTTATTTACTATAATTTCTACAATAAATAATGCTTGTAATATAATAGGGCAGCATTCAAAATAGTATAGCCAATGTCTGACAAGAATACAGACAACAGGGAAAAATATTGACATTTATTTCTAAGTGTCTGAAAAATTCAGTAACTTTATTTGCTCAGAGCTAGCTGTGAATCTATGATGGGAAAACAATATGAAAATACAAAAAAAGAACTCAGCAAGGTGGTATTTATTTAGATGACCATGTATTGTTCACATACGGTGCCAGGTGTGTTTTGTGTTCTTTATTCTTCTTTAGCTAAAGGATAGACAATATATGTTCTGCAGCTGATTATAGCATTTCTCCCAGCCATACTTGTTTCTGAACAAAGTCCCTTAAAGTGATTGTTTCCAGGTAGAGTGCTGTGACTTCTTCCCCAGCTCTAGAGAAGAATTTGAGTCAAGCTTTCCTTTTCCTGGTTAGTACTGGATTTAAGTGAGTTTTGAAATATACTTTCTCTGAAATAGCTTAGAGAAGCCCACTATGACTTGAGCCATCCTTAACCAAGGCCATTTCAATCATTTCTGAGTATGACCTTCATTCAGTAACAAGAGTGACTTTCAGAGGAATTAAAACAAACACACATGGTTATAAAGTAACATTCGTTGAGTGAGATGTACCCAAACTTAATCTCTTTTCATTGCTGTGCAGTACTTTTAAATTGCAGTGTAAAAAGACATACAATATTTTCCTTAAGGTCAAACATATAGGAAACATAGTTGTAATGTGCTGTTTTGTTTTTCTTTTGTAATATTGGAAAATTACCTTGGATAAGAAGTGACATATCAATTTAAATCTTATAGAAAAGTAAAACCACCAAAAAGTCATTTCTTTTTTACTTGTACCTCTGATCTCCTTCCCTTTGGTTTGGAATGGGGTGGAAATTTTATGATATTCTAATAGCTGCATATGACTTGGTCCTATATTCCTTGCTACAATATTATGGTGTTTTCTTACACCAAAATCTTCAAAAAGACTCCACTTATGATAGCCTCCTGTTCAGACTTCTTAGAGTTTCTTGAATTTTTTGTGATCTGATTCAAAACTCTTTCCAAATACATCTCCATTTTTAAAAAATAGATTTCCATCCAGCAAAACTTATCTGTCTCTGGACTGCCATTAGCTTTTCTGTTTACATCTCTGTATATTTGCTTGTACTGATCTTCTTCAACACTTGTTTTCCTCCTACCTTGTGCTAGAAGCTGGCATATAAAAATAATAGGGCATGGCTGTTGCTTTCAAGAAGTTCATAGTCTGGTAAAGGAAGACAGTCATAGAAATGTGCAAACTATTGAAACAGGTGCTATCATGGAATAGAACAGAATTACTGTATTGTAATGTAAAGGGAACAACCAGGTCAATGCTACCTTTCAAAGTCAGGAAAGGCTTCAAAAAAGTGATCTTTGAACTGCATCTTGAAAATGAGTAAATGTTTGTCTATTAAACTGAGTGGGAAAGGGCATCCAGAAGGTTGGAGTAGAATAACAGCCTGGAGACTTGGTATCTTTCAAAATGCCAGCAGTTCAATACAGCCAATGTTAGATTTGAGGTGTGGGACGCAGCAACAAAGCATGAGAGTAAAGCAGGGGCTCACCACAAAAAGTCATTGGCTTCATGCTGAAGAGTGGATTTGATCCTGTAGATCAGAGATGATATATTGGCAGCCCTGGTCTAATTTGGATCACAACATTCTTTTATTGAATCTAAATTCCTCTAGGAAGGATATGGGAAACTCTCTCATTCTCTTCACCAGGTCTCTGCTACTCCTTTTTGTCTTAGACAAAGCCACTTCATACATTTAAGTTACCTGCCTATTTTCTGACACCATAGAGTGTGGGCAAGGGATAGCCACAGAAAACGTTTACCAGAAGAGTAACACGAGCAGAGGTGTACATTAGAAAGATCAGTCACCACAGTGTGTGGGGTGGCTTCCATGGATGCAGGAATGGACACAGGAAGAGAGTTAAGACTGGACAAAAGATTAGGCCCTGAGCAAAGGCAATGGCAAGGGAGAGAGATGCAGGGGATGTTTAGGAAATATTACTAGGGTATTGTCCCTGATTAAGTGTGGGCAGTGCCCACAGCTAGAAGTCCTCCTCTTCCACCTCCTTAGCCTCCAAATTCAAGTGTTTATTCAAGTTTTTTTCCATGAAACCAGCTCACCATGAAATTTTATTTTCCCTAAACCAGGAGTTCTCAAGCTTTACTGCACACCAAAATCACCTGAAGGGCTTATTACTACACAGATAATGGGGTTTAAAGATGGGGCTTGAGAATCTGTCTTCTGACAAGTTCGCTGGTGATGCTGACACTGCTGGTCTAACCACCACTGTAAATTCACTGACTTCTGTGAAAGCAGGGTCCATACTTACCTACTTTACAGGGCCTAGCACAGTACTTGGCCTTTCGTAGCCACCTAATAAATTATTTGGTGGGTGAATGGGTTATGAAATGCATGAATATACACATACACTCATATTGGCTTATATATACTTAGATACATGCAGTTCTTACCAAACGACTTGTTTTTCTTTTCACAATAACTCTTTTGCAAAATCAACTAAAGGGCTATCTGTATGTAAGGTGTTATCATTAGTTGTATCTTTTCTACTAGATTAAAAGTCCCTTATGCCACCTGTCTCAGACTGCTTTGTACTCAACTGGTGCTCTATAAATAATTGTTGGTTAATCATTTAATGCAATCACACAATAGCAAATCACCACACCAGTTCCTGAATGGCTTCAACCCCTCTCCTTGCTGATGGTCTTTATTGAAGTTAACATTTTCTCTTCGATGACAAAACTGATCCTGGGGAAAATTTAGTGGGTTATTTCTTTTTTTCTTCCATTAAAGAATAGTGTTACCATGTGTCAACTCTAAAGATGGTGAGCTTACTATAGCTGGAATCCTTGAAAAAAAACTGATGATTTTGGAGCAAATAAATTGAAAATAAAGTAAAAAATAAGCAGTTCAAAGATGACTTAATACTAGAACAACCTTTAGTTGTCTGAAGCAGTGATGGGTATCATAGTTTAAATACGTTTCTAAACGAAACTGAAAAATCAAAATATTTTCAACTTGTCTTAAGTGGAAGAAGCAGAGAAAACAATGAGTCAAAGTGCCTTATTATAGTAAGTTCCCTGAATAGCTTCATAAATTGTGGTATCCAAGAGACTTTATAGTTAGTGAAGAACTTTGACTTCTAGAAGTATTGATAAAGTAATTTGGAAGGAGATTTAAATTTCAGGTAATCTATAATAACTTACTGAATTACCCTTGAAATGATGATGTCTATGGTTTTATAGACTGCATATCATTATTACAGTGTTAATTCTGTGGCACTGGTGTTCACACTGTGGTTGCACGTTCCCCACAAAATGCTCTATAGTCGTTACCTCTGTCAAGGGGAAGGCTAAGTTGATGGCATTCTGTCCCTCTCTTCCTTAGACACTCCTGCTTCAGTTCTAGAGCACCTCCACTTTGGTGTTTGGTATATACTGGGTTTCCTCCTAAGATTTTATTTGAAAAAATAAGTGTCCTGTTTCTTTAAAAAAGTTTTAAGTACTACATTGTATATAATAATCTTATACAATTATTAGAAGGACAAATGTGAAAAATGAAACTCAAATTAAGGTGAATACAGTTTGTGGTAGAGACAGCAAGTTATAACCCCACTGTATCCTTTAGAGTTGTGGGTGGTACCTATCCACCCACAGGGACTACATTTCCTAGCTTCCCTCCTTTTATCTAGATAGGGCTTCATTTTCACCAATTACATGGTAGAGAAAATGTTGTGTGTCATACGTATGGTTTTGAAGCAGGTATGCCCTCTTTTTGCCCAACTACTCACGAAAAGCAGAAGTCTCTGCATCTCTATGGCAGGACTTAGCAAGCTATAGGCCAAATCCAGCAGGCTGCTTGTTTTGTAAATAAAAGTTTCATTGAAACATAGCCATGCCAATATTTTAAAGCATTGTCTATGGAACTATAACTGCAAAGGCAATATTAAACAGCTGAAACAGAGACCTTATGGCCACAAAGCCTGAAGCATTTACTACCTGGACCTTTAGAATATGTTTTTTGATCTTAATTTCATGGGTTGGAAGGAGCTTGGGTCCCTGAATCATTACTTTGAGGAAAGTTGCCCACTGAATAATGGCACCTGCATTATTAAACTATTATGTGAGCAAGAGAGTTCTCTTGTGTTAAGACATAATTTTAGTTACAGCAGCTAGCAACATACTACTGGTTAAACACACGAGTCTTAGAAGCTAGTCCAAAAACCTACATATCAGAAACTTCTCACATATGTCTAGTGATGAATGGTAACTGAAGTGGATGGTATAGCTCAGAGTCTTGCTCAGAGATACTGAAAGAAAATTTCAAATTTAAAAAGCAAACAGAAGATAAAGCAACAGGAATATTTAAATAAGCTACTAGGCAAATATCTTAAAAGCATTAGGTCAAGAAAAATACTTGTTG